TAGAGGAAAAAGTACGCCACACTAGGAGGAGACTCTATGATGGGGGAACTGAATTTCCGGTCAGCTCCAGAATTGAACAGGGGGCTTCCGGTTAGGAACTTTGTGGCTCCCGGCGTTTTCTTTTCTGTGGGAAATGGGTCCAAATGGCTCTTTGAGTGTTTAAGTTTGCCGACCCCTGCAGTTAGCAAACCATTTGTATGGCTGGAAGACTTTATGTGAATTCTACTTAAGTTCTGGAAAGCCTTAAAACCATCTCAACTGTCCCTCCTAATAGATACAGGGACAAATATCTGCATATTTCAATTCTAGAAGGATGGGTGTGATGTTAGTCTTTTATAACAAACAAGCCAAAAATGTCTTTTAAAAAATTGATTATATAATCTTTTGTTAATCACAATCTGATCACAGATCTGATCACTAATGAAGCCGACTGAGATATACAGAACCATGTGTGATAATAAATTTATTAATATTTAAGATGCCAAAAGACACTTCATTTTTTCCCTTACATGCTAGGAATGCCACACTATTCTTTTCTCTGCTATTGACATCTCATGGTTGAACTAAAATGCAAGGGGTGAGGCCATTCTCCACACTTTGCCTGTGAACTTTCATTCATTTAGGAGCATTATCAAAATATATATCAATAACAGGTCCAAATGAACTTTAGTAAGAAGTGAAATAAGGAAGGAATCTAAAAAAAAAACACCTTACAGGTAAGAAATTAGCCACAGCAGAACCACAGATGGTAAACTCTTGCAAAATGAGAAAGTTATTGGCTTTATAAACCTTAATTTTGGATTATAACATCAAAGTTACTGCTCAAAAATCTAGGATTTTGGATTTGGGGGAGAATTAAAGGAAAGTATGTACATTCCCTAGTGCTTGGCTCTGTGGCTATATGAGCCATATCCGTATAATATTCGTGGCAACAGTATTTAAGGAGGCGGCATTACATTCTTCTCAGTTACTTGATTGACTTCTCAACCTAACCTACAGATTTCCTGGTGATCTCCAATCTACATGTTCACCAGTTCTGTTTAGTTTCTCAAGGTCAGTCAAGTTTGGCTAGGCCCCTCAAATCTGGATAACACAAAGATTTATATAGAATGATGGTTTTCAGACCGAGCTCAACTGTGTAACTGAGGTTTCTTAAATGCTTGGTGTGAGTTCTACAATTAGAAGATCAGTAACAGTCTTGGGGTGATCATTAGCTACAGCTTACTTCTATTAATTGTCCCCCCTCCCTTGCAATATCAACTTGGGTTGTTTTCTGCAGTGCATAGTCCATTCATTCAAAGCCATGGTAGGGCCAATAAACTCATTCCGCACTCTTCGTGGATTGGGGTGGATGCTCTAGAATGTTATTCCCAGAAGGTTCTAGACTGCAACACTGGCTCCATGGCAGACAGGTCCCATCAGTGATGTTACAGACATCTCTCTAAATGTTGCTGTCTTTATCACATGAGACTTCTTGGGATTGGAACTTTATTGTAATCACCTGAGACGGGCCCCCAAAACAAGAACAGAAATAGCAGGTATGTAAAATGTGAAGAATATTTTTTAAAAGATCATGGAAAGTTCAAGGAAGGTATTCCAGTTGGACATGGCTCCATCCTCCTGACCTGCAGGACTTCCCAACAGGAGTAAACAGAGGTCTCTTCAAGCCTTCGCTGTTGGACCTACCAATGAAAAGGAATCCATTAACATTTTCTTTCACTTTTGAACTCCCGTTGTGACTGTCATGGGAGGAACCAATTCAATTTCATGTCTTTACTTTCTTATCATGTAATATTTTTAATTCTATTTAATTTTTCTTAATGTAAACCCAACCAAGCTTGATGTTTCCTCCAATAACACCCACTGTTTTTTTAGGCAATTTACCATATTTTTGGAATATAAGACGCACCTCCCCCCCAAAAAAGAGGGTGAAAATCTGGGTGCATCTTATATGCTGAATACAGCATTTTTGGCTTCCAGAAACCACACCCCCTTCGCAAAAATGGACATGCAGAGGGTTTGGGAGTCTTGCAAAGTAATCCTGGGGGCTGGGGAGGGCAAAAACGAGCAAAAAATGAGCCATTTTTTGTTCGTTTTTGCCCCCCAGGAGCACTCTACAAGCCTCCCAAAGCCTATGCATGCCCTGTTTTTTTTGCAGAAAATGGCCCTATTTTTACAAAAAAAGGGCATTTTTGCTCATTTTTGCCCCACTCTCAGTCTAAAGGAGCACTTTACAGGCCTCTCAGACTCTTTGCATGCCCCATTTTTCACAAAAAATGAGGCGTGCAGAGGGTTTGGGAGGCCTGAAGAGTGCAAAAACTTTGTTTTTTAAATTTACCTCTTCAAAATCTTGGTGTGTCTTATACTCCGGTGCATCTTATACTCCGAAAAATACAATATTACACAGAAGCCAAAGACAGTTCTTGAGTTACAAAAAGATGTACACCCCTGCTTTGCAGATTTAAAAAGCAAAAAAACAAACCACTAGGCAGAAATCTATCCCAAAGGGAATCCCGGAAAGGTTTGAATGATGAAGGGATTTCAATTAACGAATTATTGAATGGATGCCAGGTGGATTTTCTATTATAAGTAGATTCCCTGAGGCTCATAGTGGTGCCAGCCTTGTCTCGTTGTCTCAGAAATTATGCTTCATCAATACAGAGAAGGGGCATCTGTTGGGTATGGAGGTGTGTCAAAATCAGCAAGATGGCAGATGAAATATCTTTTGTAATCCCCTCCCTTAAGGGTGGGGCTTGAATCATATTCCATCCAACATTTTGTTGATTTTAATTCCCTACTGAAGACAATGCTGATATACAGTAATATTCCAGAATAAGCATAACAAAACGGCAGCTTTTCCAAAATTAAATGCTCCTGGGTGCTTCAGAAGTTGTGGGTGCTCCATCGCTGGAGGATTTTACAAAGAGATTCGACAGCCATTTGTCTGAAATGGTATAGGACAGGGGTGTCAAACTGGCGGCCCATGGGCGAAATGCATCACATGCAGGTCACACCCCAGCTCCGCGAAGGGTGGAAACGCTGCAAAACATCACGTGATGGTAATGTGATTTTGTGAGTTTGACCCCTGTGGTATAGGATCTCCTGCTTGAGCAGCAGTTTGGATTAGAAGACCTCTAAGGTCGCTTCTAACTCTGTTATTCTGTTCTGTTTGGTTCTATTCTGTTCTGTATTACTCAGCTATTTGAGATTTGCTGTATGATAGCATTCCCTAACCTGGTGCGTCTTAACTGGCTAGAATTACAATTCCAACCACCACTATTCTTGTTTGGGGCGCATACTGGGAGATGCCAGGCTGCTTCTATGTGTGATGCACAAAAGATTAAAAAAAAATAGTGTTTTTTGTCAATCATTTTTAATATTAAAAAGTAAGGCACCTTAATCCATGCTTGAATTACTTCGTTTTCCTTTTCCTTCTTCTTGTGCTTCTCCTTCTATGCCATCTTTTTTTTTTTTTCATTTGAAACACCAAATGCAAGAACTGCTTGGATTTAGTTACTGTCTAGGATTGTCTGGAAATTTTCAAGCTGAGGGGTGAGCCATCTATCATTTAGATATATAATAAATAAAAGTAGCATCTACCCACTGAGTGTTAATCTACTTTAAACATTTAAACAAATTGGATTTCACAATGAAATCCACTTTCCAGTGTAAGTATTTTTCTCGTGCTAACACCCAGAGTGAAAAATGGAAATGTAGCAGAAAAGCCATGAGTTAAATAAATAAATANAAGGTGCATGGAACGCTGTTACCTTCCCACCAAAGGTGGTCCCTATTTTTCTATTTACATGCTTTCCAACTGCTAGGTTGGCAGAAGCTGGGACAAGTAACGGGAGCTCACTCTGTTATGTGGCGCTAGGGATTTGAACCGCCAAACTGCCAACCTTTCTGATCGACAAGCTCAGCGTCTTAGCCACTGAGCCACCGCATCCCTTATGAAACCCAGTAGGGAAGAAAAATCTTGGTGATAATGTTGGGGAAGGGAGATAAGGGAAACCATCGTGAAAAAGCCTTAACCACTTGGCTTCTGTCTGCCTTGTTTCTGCAAATTACTCCTAGCCATAATCATCCAGGAACTTGCAATATGTACCTTTTAGGTATCCATAATCTCATTTTGCAATCAAAGAGCAATAAAATGGTATGGTTGAGCAATGTAGGTCCTATCAAAATGATTTCACTTTGTAACATACAAGAAGTCCGCTGATTATCAGAAACTATAGATGTGCAAATTGTACATGTCTTAAAGGACGACTTGCAATCAAATTATAAAACCTAAATCATTTTTAGCTATTTAACCTCTTTTGGTTTACAGATAAATAACAGAGGAATAAAAGATTCGGCAGAAGCCTTCAAATTATGTTTTCCAAATCTTCAAGATAGGGAGAAAGTGAAAGAAATGTAATTTTTAATAGCTTTCAAATATTAAACAAGTTTCAGTAAAGGGAATATAGGAAAGATACCTTGAAACAGCCTTCAGCTACATTTATAAAGATTATTTTCTTTCTCATTTTTCATGATAACATACCTTAAACAAAGTAGCATTAGAAAAAAGATCAAGTATGCTTTAATTTTTACCCTTGTTAATTAACAAGGGGCCCTTCTATTGCTCTAAGACAAACTTATAACAAGCTGTAGGTTGATAAACACATTTTTAAAAATCTAATAAGCTGCACTGAGTTGTGTTGCAAGAATTTCAATTACGGTAAATGAACTAAGGCAATGATGGCGAACCGATGCCAGAAGTGGCACGAAGAGCCCTCTCTGCTGGCATGCGTGCTGTCGCCCCAGGTCAGATCTCCTTGGCGTTTCTTTCGTGAGCTTTTGTTTCCCTGCAAACAATGAAGCAGAAGCTCACGAAAGAAAAAGATCTTGCTGCACTGCCGGTGTTGCGATGCCCCGTCTCCTCCCGGCCAGCTGGTTTCGGGTCTCTGCTGTGTATGCATGCATGTCTGCAGATGTATGTGCGTGGTGGCATGCACATGTCAGTAGATGGGCACTTTTCAGTTTGGGCATGCATGCACACGCAGTTTGGGCACTTGGTGTCTAAAAGGTTTGCTATCACTGAACTAAGATATATCCTCTATACCAGGGGTCAGCAAACTGCGGCTCTGGAGCCACATGTGGCTCTTTCCTCCCTCTGCTGCGGCTCTGTCACCAGTCGGCGCCACAATTTTGAGAGGAGTTTCTGGTGGTGGGGAGAGAGAAGCACAGTGCGCCAGGAGAAGACTCTATGGCAAGGTGAGGGCTTTCCAGTTGTCTCCACAATTGATAGGCCTTTCGGTTATGACAGGTAGAGGAAAAAGTACGCCACACTAGGAGGAGACTCTATGATGGGGGAACTGAA